TGGCAGGAGCAGATATTGGAGTGGTTGTTGGAGGAATAGTACGCTTGGGTCTTGGTGGAGTAGCTGGGGTGGCAGGAGCAGATATTGGGGTGGCTCTTGGTGGCTTAGTAGGGGTGGTCGGAGCAGATACTGGTGCAGCTCTTGGTGGAGTAGTGGGGGTGACAGTAGCGGATACTGGGGTAGCTGTTGGTGGAATAATAGGGTTTGCAGGAGCAGATACTGGAGTGGTTGTTGGTGGAATAGTGCGCTTGGCTCTTGGTGGAGTAGCTGGGGTGGCAGGAGCAGATATTGGGTTGGCTCTTGATGGTTTAGTAGGGCTGGACGGAGTAGATACAGGGGTGGATTTTGGTGGAGTAGTGGGGCTGACAGGAGCAGATACTGGTACAGCTCTTGGTAGAGTAGCAGACGTGCTTCTTGGTGAAATAGTTGGTGCGACAGGAGCGGATATTGGAGTGTTTGTTGGTGGAATAGTACGCTTGGTTCTTGGTGGAGTAGCTGGGGTGACAGGAGCAGATATTGGGGTGGTTCTTGGTGGCTTAGTAGGGGTGGCCGGAGTAGATACAGGGGTGGATGTTGGTGGAGTAGTGGGGTTGACAGGAGGAGATACTGGTGTGGCTCTTGGTGGAGTAGTACGCTTAGTTCTTGGTGAACTTGTGGGCCTGGTAGGAGCAGATTTCGGGGTGGCTATCGGTGGGGTAGTGGGGTTGGGAGGAGCAGATATTGGCTTGGCTCTTGGTGGAGTAGTAGGATTGGTCGGAGCAAATACTGGGGTAGATGTTGGTGGAGTAGTGGATATGGCTCTTGGTGGAGTACTGGGGGTGACAGGAGCAGATACTGGGGTGGCTACTGATGAAGTAGTAGGCGCGGCTCGTGGTGGAGTGGTGAACGTGGCAGGAACAGATATCGGTGTAGCTATTGGTGGAGTAGTAGGTGTGGCTCGTGGTGGAATACTGCGGGTGGTAGGAGCAGATACTGGGGTGGCTATTGATGAAGTAGTAGGCGCGGCTTGTGGTGGAGTGGGAGTACTGCGGGTGATAGGAGCAGATACTGGAGTGGCTATTGATGAAGTAGTAGGCGCGGCTCGTGGTGGAGTGGTGAACGTGACAGGAACAGATATCGGTGTAGCTATTGGTGGAGTAGTAGGTGTGGCTCGTGGTGGAATAGTGTGTGTGGGCGTGGCCGGAGCAGATATTGGGGCGGTTGTTGGTGGAGTAGTGGAAGTCACAGGTACAAGCCGAGGAGCAAGAGAGGTGGCGGTAGCAGAGACACTTATAACCAATTTCATGCCTAGGTCACAATGCCCTGCAAATGTACAAATGTAATAATGTGTTCCAACAGAGTTTAATATAATGTTTGTTGGTCCATTCATTGATATGGAAATTGGACTTGCGGCGTTACATGAATCAAAATCAGCCTTAGATACTTCAGCAACATTGTGTGCTCCAGTCGCATAGTTAAAAACTGTTCAAAAATAAGAATTATGTCAATAATACAATTATTAGTATAAAAAAAATTGTCCAAATTCACTTTTTTTAAAGCGATATGTGTTAATTTTATCCTTTGTTATACCTCAAGGTCATTCATACTCTTGTTGTAAGCAAATTATTTCATATTTTTCCTTGAGCTTAATGGAGTTCTAGCATGGGATGAACGAATTCTACATGTCCAAATATATCGGGAAACTACACAAATTTATTTATTTGCTTTTGTCTATTGAGTATTATAGCCTGCTTGGCCAAGTTTCTTTTGAGGCAAAAATACTTTTTTTTTGGTTGTTAAAAGTTCCTTTTTTTCTAAAATTAAGGTGTTTGGCCAAGCCTTTGAAAGGAAAAAAAAAGTGTTTTTGAAGAAAAACAGAAACAGTTTTGGAGAAGTAGAAAAAAATAGTTTATCTCCAAAAGCATTTTTCTGAAAAATACTTTTAAGAAAAATACACTTAGAACCAATTTTTAAAAGCTTTGTCAAAAACATTAATTTCTACTCAGAAGTGCTTTTCAAATTAATTAGCCAAACACAAACTGAAAAAAAAAAAAACTTTTGAGAAAAAACATTTTTCAAGATAAATTGATTTTTATAGCTTGGTCAAACGACCTATTATTAGGATCACGGGCAAAGTACGAGACAGTTTACTAACATTAAAGTATGAATAGATCCAAAGTATAATTAGTGATAAAATTAAAATATTTCGTATAGCTGAAGAATATTTTAAATCATTTTTCAATAACAAAAAAAAATCGTTTTATGTGACACTATTACTATTTTGAGCATTACCAAGAGTGTCGCCGACTGAGAAGATTTTCCGGCCGGCAGCCCAGGTGGAATAAGCGGCGGCTCCGCCAGGAGGTACAGTCCAACCCAAAGCATCACCTACTACATAAGTATTTTGTGCCATTGAAATATTGAACAAAGCAGTTGCTACTACTAACATAGCCAAATTATACTTTCTTGACATTCTGCTTTTTTATGTTTCTCTCTCTCTCTAAATCTTTAGCTTTCTCTCTCTATATGTATAGTATATCTTTGTGTTTTTTATNAAGGTCTGCGTACATATTACCCTCCCCAGACCCCATTTGTGGGATTATACTGGGTCGTTGTTGTAAGCAGCAGAGCAAAGGCAGTTGTTGGGGCATTTGATTTTTGAAAGACCAAAGTCAGCTATTTTATGCATGACACGTGGCTAAGATTGTGACGGAGCCTTGGAGCAATGGTAAAAATTTATTTCCGTGTGACCTATAGGTCACGAGTTCGAGCTGCGGAAGCAGCCGCTAATACTTGCATTATAATAGACTATCTGTATCATACCTATTAGGGTGCGGCCCTTTCCCGAATCTTGGATAAATATAAAATACTTTATGCACCTTTCTATGTTGACATGTAAATGTGAAATTTAATGTGAATTCGTGGAAGTCAAGTTGGTAAGTTGTGAAATATACTGTTTGGGTCATTTGGTGACACTTTTATTTCCCAAAAAAAATAAATAGTTTTCTTGTACAAATTTTCTGTCCCTTTTTAGTTTCAAGCATGTTTCATTTTATTTCATCTTTTTTGACAGAAAACACAAAATTAAATTCTCTCACAATAATCCTTGACGGTTCACCTAATACTAAAGATATTCCAAAAAAAAAAAAAAAAAAAAACTCACAAAAAAAAGACCAAAACAAAAACAAAAACAAAACAAAACAAAACAAAACTTTTTTTAGTGAAAATAATTACTCCAGTTTGTTACTCGATCTTTTCAAGCAAAATTAGATGTCTTGTTTAGACGATAGATAAGTTTGTTAATTAAGTTACTTCGGATTAGTTTTGAAAGAAATAGAGAAAGTTACCATTTTTTAATAATCTTGCCAACGAAGATATGCCGCAATACAATCTAGAAGACGTCCATACAATAATTTGAATAATTACCAAATGTATCTAGTATATACATTTGAGCTCTTTTTAAATAATCTTGCTAATAGGGTATGCTAACTCATGCTTAGAATAAAAGTTTATCTATGCAGTTGGTTTTAAAATATCATGATTATGTAAATATTTTGATGATTAAAAAAACGAGTAACGGGGACATCGAATTTGTGTACATATTAACAACAGCGGAAGATTTTTGCTGAATTTGTTCCAATCAATTGCCCCAATCCAATTTTGTCTCTCTTGAAAACGAAATTTTTGTTCACGAACTAAATACCTTCTTCTTTGCTTGTAATGTGTTTCTATCTTTGTAGAGAGGATTTCTCAAAGTGTTTGTTTCTGAAGAAGGGAAGCGTCAATTATATAGAGAAGGGAAGTTGTCGGAGAAAAAAAAAATACCGAGAAACTGATCCACGTTGATCCTCACGCTCCCACTTACTTCTCTACGTGTGGTAGTTTTATTTTAGGAGTTAAACCTTCCCTAGGTAACTTCCCTTAATCATATCTCCTTCAAAAACAGGTCGGGTCAGTCCATATGGGCGACCCGCTACCCAAACCCAATATCCAATATCTCCCACTTTGCACATGATGGGCTAGACCCAAACCAGTGCTATGTAAAAAAAAAACACACGTAATTCATACTGGTAAATAGATCGTGCGACCTGCGAGCATCAAGAGCTACATTATTCTTATACCCTTTAAGGTTGTTTAATAGCTCTACGTAGAAATCCAATTACATGCGAAAAGGATTCACTACTACTATGATGATCTTATTATTACTCGCAATACCCCAGACATTGTTGACTACTCTAGTAGCTAATCATCTGATCCCTCATCCTCAAAAAGAGGTTGAGTTTGTGTTTAACTTTGTATCCACAATTACATCCAATACCCTCATGGTAAGTGTAATGATCGACCTATGAATACAGGTTAAATTATTAAATTTTAGTCGTCTTCCCTTTATACTCGAATCTTTTCATTCCAAATCAACTGCTTTCCTAGACATGCAGTGCATTGCTGAATCACTCATGACTATTAGTGACATGCTAAAGTAGCAACACTGATTGACACTTCAAGAGACAGTAAAATGTCAAAGGATATTCTAATAAAAGTTGATATAACTTCTTTGGGATCTCACACAATGAAGAAGTAGGGATTCATTCTTCCATTATCACATGGTCGATAGCACATGTGGTATGAAACACATGTTACGGTGTTCTCACCTTATATTGGCGTGTGTGCCTTATTCTTTTAATCATTCAACACCGTACAGATTTTGGTCTAGACACCTCCAAATGTCTAACCCGAGTTTCTCATTTTAATAATCCTCAAACCATCTTCTTAGAGAAACTCGCATCTGGCTTACAAAACAAGTCATAATCGAATAGTGAAATTCGAAAGTCTGATTAATTGTCAAGACCGACATTTACAAGTAAATATAACCTCGCATTATCCAAGGTTCTATAAGGTCTCATCTCTTCATTCTTAACATAAGAGGCGATTGCTCGTATGAGAGAGCAAATCTCGCGACTTGTTTGACACACTTTATCAACAAAACATTCATCACATGCATACGAGGTATAAGCATAAATTCAAGAGTTAAATATTAATGAGCATATTATAATACTAAAGTCATTTTGCAATACATAAATATGTCCATATCCTTCGCAAACCTAGAGCCATAACATGTTTCTCAAACATGTCTCTAGATATCGCCTTTGTAAAAGGATCAGCTATCATGCTTTGCATAGGAACTCGAGACATATTTTCCTTTTCATTTTTAGTCTTGGGACACATTTCAAGGCTTAAAGTTTCACCTCTCACTATAGGAGTATCTATGGATTTGCAACTATTCATGCGAAAATGCTCCAAAATTTTCATTATATAAGTTTCTTGAGATAGATTCAATAACTTTTTGGAACGGTCTCCTTGAATCTTAACTCCAAGGATATAATATACCTCACCCATATCTTTTATGTCAAATGACTTTGAAAGCCATGACTTGATAGTTTTCAAATACTCCAAATTGTTTCTGGCTAATAAAATATCGTCCACATAAAGAGAAAGAATTACAAACATCCCATTGGACTTCTTCACATAAATGCAATGGTCTTCACTGATCATGGTGAAATCATACGAGATCACCTCCTTATGAAATCTAAAATACCATTACTTTGAAGATTGTTTCAAACCGTAAATAGATCTTTTCAATTTACAAACCTTCTTTTCTTGGCCTTTAACGATGAAGCCTACAGGTTGTTCTATGTAATTTCTTCGTTTAGTTCTCCACTGAGAAAAGCTGTCTTCACGTCCATTTGATGTAATTCTATATCCAAACGTGCAACAATAGCTAAAAGTAAGCGAATTGAGGTAAACTTCACAACTGGTGAAAATGTTTCTTCATAATCTATTCCAGCTTCTTGGGTAAAGCCTTTTGCCACCAATTGTGCTTTGTATCTTTCTATTGACCTATCCGCTTTGCGTTTAACTTTGAAAACCCATTTGTTCCCAATTGCTCTATGCCCAGGCAGAAGGTCAGCTAGATCCTAGACTTTGTTGGTTTTTATGGACTTTAGTTCTTCTTTCATTGCTTTCATCCACTCATCATAAAGCCTCGTCACTGACTTTGGCTCACCCATTTTTGTGGGAGATACCAAGAAAACATAATATTTTATTTCATAAGTTCGTTTGGGTATATTTTTCCCGGGACTCTTTCGTAGTTGAAATTCAGGTTCGTTAGAAGGATTTTGTGATTGAGAGTTCACACTCCCACTCGGATCAAGAATAAGATCTTGATCAATTTGATTATCAACTGTGTCAGAAGACATTTGCTGACTGTCTGAGTTCAACATTCATAAAGAGGCTCTCCATTCTTTACCTCGCCCTTCTTTGAAAAATTATTTTCCAGAAATGTGATACCTCGTGATTCAATCTCAGTAACACTTCATTTTTTACTTATGCAGCACAACCCCAAGGTTGTAAATCCTTTAAGTTTGGTTTATGACCAGTCCATAGCTCATAAGGAGTAAAAAACTGATTTAGAAGGCACTTTGTTCAATATGTAAGTTGCAGTCAATAACGCATCTCCCCAAAAGGAGATAGGTAAATTTGTTTGCGCCATCATGGACCTTATCATATTCAATAGTGTTCTATTCCTCCTTTTTGCTACACCATTTTATTGAGTTGTGTACAGAATAGTTAACTGTCTGGTGATGCCCTTTTCATTACACAATTCTTCAAATTCTTTTGATAGATATTCACGCCATCTATCGGATCTTAAGGTCTTAACCCTTTTGTCTAATTGATTCTCAACTTCATTCAAATATTTCTTAAAGCATTCTAGTGTTTCAGATTTATGAGAAATCAAATAGACATAACAAAAGTGTATGAAATCATCAATTAACGTAAGGAAATATAAAGCACCAGACCTAGCCCTCACATTCATTGGATCCCAGATATCAGAATGGATTAATTGCAATGGAAAATCAACTCTCTTAGCCTTTCCAAATGATTTACGTATAATCTTTCCGGCAAGACAATTTTCACAAGTTGGCATTTCAATTTTAGAGAAAGAACCTAGATGTCCTTCCTTAGCTAATCTATCCATTCGATCCTGCCCTATGTGACCTAATCTTGCATGCCATGTAATAACATCAACATTATTGTTATTAGAATAGCATGCCATAACACAACAATCAACATAATAGTTATACATAGAAGGATTATAATCTAACACAATAAAACCATCATAACAATGTCCAAAACCATAAAAAAATATTGTCTTAGTAATTCTAGGACCATTGCGACTAAAGTTCAAATTGAAATCTAAATCTAGAAGAACAGACACAGAGACTAAGTTTCGCCGAATCTCTGGAACATATAGGACGTCATGCAACATCAAATATCGGCCACCACGCATGTCCATTCTGCAAGTGTCTATCCCTTTGACTTCAAGCTTTGCATTATTTCCAACATACAGATGTTTTGATCTAGGTGGAACTCGACAAAACTCTATAAACGCTTCTTTATTGCGGCTCACATGGTCGG